ACCGAAGAGTATTTGATATTTTCTTAAACTACAATTATTACAATTTAAATTCATAAAAAAGCCTTATAGTACACATAATAGATAGGTCATATATATGACATAGGTAAATGCAGGGCTCGAAATAACTTAGAAATTTTACCCGTCCTCCTTAGAAACAAACCCATAGCTCCTAAATAAATAAAAATGTAATTTTCTCTTTTTTATTACAAACATTTATATTAATTGCACAATGAATTAATAGTTACTAGGATTACATTATACAGTAATAAAAGAAATACTAGGTTACTGATAGTAACTTAGTATTTCTTTTATGAAATAATTTAAATGACAAAAGTCAAGTTATCTGGAATGTCAATTTATCTGAGTGTACTGCGTTTTTTAAATGACTCAAATATGACGTTTGCCAGTTCCACAATCAAGTCAATGATTTACAGAGGTTTCTGCGCAGAAATCTGATAGGGGTTTTCCATTTAGGTAGATGTTCATAATTGCGTTTAACGCTTCTCGTTTAAGATCAGTATGTAATGCATTTTTTTGTAAGTTCATTGCTGAAAAGCCCCTTTCAACCGCCGCAGTACTCCCAGACAGAGAAAACATTAATTCCACCATACGCAGAATGTTGCTGTATTTCTAGATTAGAGGGTCATTTCAGAAGTGAGGCGCTAGACTCTTGTAAGATAACAAAAATTGAAAATGCATCACGTACATTAACGGGAAAATGTCCGTCCGTGCGGACGTCAGATTCGAGAAATTCGTAGTCCGCGGGGAATTTTTGACCGTCTAGGACGGGCGGACGGGTGGTTTTTCGAGCCCTGGGTAAATGTTAAACAAGATGAAACGAACTATTTCATCTTTGAAAAGTTTCCTTTCAGTCGAAACGTCTAAAGTAGCACTACAGTTTCACTAGCAGTAAACAGCAATTTAAAAGCAATATAGTCATCAAACGTTTCAACATTCCGTCTACTACGCTAGCAAACACATTCTTGGCATGCAAATATTACTTATTTCAGCATGGTCAAAGGTGTAAGAACTTTTTCCAGACATAGCGAAAAAGATTAATTTTATGTTAGAGCAACACCCCAACATCATGAACGGTTATTACTTCATTTTTTTGTTATATCGCCATAGAAGGTCTTCATCATAAAATCTTCTTTAGTCGAATAAGTACTCAACTAAGGTCAGAACAAAATATTAGAATAAGTACTAAGGGAAGGTCGGAACAAACTCAGTGGGAGAGCAATTGCTCGACAAATGTTCGATGTCAAGGTGGTAAAATCTCACCATCGTTTGAGGAAAAGGGCCATAAAATTTCTGGCCGTAAATCCTTTGATATTGAAATGATAGGCTCTGTTTTTCTCGCTCTATATAATAACTGATGTACCGAGGAGAAATATTAATATGCCATTGAAATAAACGGACATGTCGCGTGCTGTTCGCGGCAGAAAGAAAAAACAAATTTCAGAAATAGTCAAGAGTAATGATCTCGTAAAAAATATAGGTACAATTCATGGGTTAGGTTTACTAGAAGTCAACAAGCTCTGCTATAAAAAACAATATATCCTATAATAATATAGTATAACTATTCTAGCATATGGCAAATTTAACGGTCACCATGTGACTAAACATAACAAATCGCGATTAAAAAAATCGTCTGTCTAGCACCTTTTTTTTTGTTGACAAAACTGCATTTCATTTAGATTTTATTATTATTTTTTAATAAATATGGAATTGTTATGAATAGTTTATATTTTTCTGATAATTATTTTATTTGTCCATGTTTCTGTTTTTTATTTTCATTTTAGAAAAAAAGGCTTATAATGTTTAGCATTATTTGAGAAATGCTTCTAAAGGAATGAGTTACATATACAGTTCAATCATGTTTGATCAATCATTCTTGAACAATTCTCCTGCATAAATTGAGACTAACAACAGTTCTGTTGCATAAACTATTGAGACTAACAACAGTTCTGTTGCATAAACTATTGAGACCAACAACAGTTCTCTTGCATAAACTATCGAGGCCATTTTTTCAGATTATATTCCCACATTTTTAATGTTCAAGAATCTAAATCATTTGTTAAAAGTATATTTATTCAGATACCAGATTACCTGAATTAAAACACCAAAAAAAAATTAAATTACCTGAATTAAAACAAAAAAAATTAAATTACATATTTAAATTTATCCACTCGTACTTGCATTTTAGGTCGTGGAAATCTGATCACTAGATCAAAAGTTATCATGGTTTTCCGTTTTTTATTTTGTGCACTAAACATTACTTTAATACCAGCCATTAGAAAATTTTATTTATTTATTTTCTACATTAATTAACTACTTTTTTAAAATCATAAATTTGGAAAAATGCACTGATTATCGAATGAAAAAAATACTTTAGAAATACCATTATCCATTATTACTTTTTTTGCTTACTCAATATTTTGTCTATAATATTCAAATTACAATTTAATCATATGCCCTTCTATAGTACATAAATAGCTTTTATTCTCAATCTAAATATCAATATACTTGTATTTCTCAAAAGTTTCTACTTTTTTTTAACTAATAAAAGACCTCTTCAAAAAATTATTCCATTCATTAAAACTAAATCAATTTATCGGTTATTTATTGAAGCCGAAACTCTTCAACATTAACAGTTTTAAGCCCACCGGTGAACTTTCAATGTTCCCTGCGTTAGACGGCCCTACGCTCGATTGGCGAATTCAGGCGGGGGAGTCTTTTGTTTATTTAAGGGGTTCTCTTTATTTTGTCTCTCACTCCCTCTCTCAACCCCTTTATACAGATTCAATCAAGATAAATCGATAAATTTGGAACCACTTCCGATACTTAATATAAAGCGATCATTTGTTTAATCTTGTTTGGGAGTTGTCAATGACAGCTGACCCTTGTATTACCGCCTAAATGAAGCCAATGCGTGTTACTGATAAGTTAGTGTCAGGATTTTGGGCAATCTATTTTAAAATAAACAGTTTTCACGAGTCGCGGCACTTATTAGTATGCTGAAACAGAAGCTGTATTAGAGAGATTTTAAATTGGGTGCTGTATATAAATTTCGAAAATCCTGTGGGAATTAAAATAATGCGTATCTTTTAAAAAACAACAGTTTTTAAATGCAAATGAACAACACTATGAACAAGCACATATGTTATGGGTCACTAAAAAAGCATTAGCCTAAATACAGAGCATTAGTTTCATGCAATTCATATTACTCACTGTGCAAAAGAAATAATCAAATTTCACGAAACTTTGTACGTTTTTGACAAAACCGTTACCTGGTAAACGCTCCGAGTGAACATTTTGTCAAAGTGACGTAATAACTATCGTTACTTCTCCGAAGAAACGAATTTCGTCAAAAGTAAAGAAATATTTCATCATTTTAGTTCGATCGTTTAGTCTTCATTCTAGTTAGCCATCTCCCACAATGCTCAGCAATGAGGTTCCGGGATCGGGAAACTTTTTTGTCATGCATTTGAGAGTTTGCGTGTTGTCACAAGTCTGTTAATTGGTCTCTGCTCAAGCACAAAAAATTCGATACTGACATGAAATTCTTACATGCTGAAACTGTACAGCTGTATCAGAGAGATTTTAAATTTTGTGCTAAGTATAAATTTCAAAAATCTTGTGTGAATAAAAAAGGTCAGCATGCCATAAAAGAAACAATTTATAAATGTAAATATGGTAATAGCCTAAATATAAAACATTAGTTCAAGCTATTCACATTACTCAATGTAAAAAATTAATAATCAAATTGCATGAAACTTTCTGCATTTTTGACGTAACCGTTTCCTGATATGCTCCAAGTGAACAATTCGTCAAACTGACGAAATAACTATCGTTACTTTTTCGAGGAAACGAATTTTATCAAAAGTATCACCACTTTAGTTTCGATCATCATTTCAGTATCGATCATTATTCCTCATATTTCATCATTTTAGTTTCCTACTTCATCATTTTAGTTTCATATTTCATCATTTTAGTTTCGTCATTCGACAAGGCTCTGAGACGATATTTCGAGTAAAGGAAACATTTTTGTAATACATTTGTGAGTTCACGTTTTGTCACAAATCACTTAATTTCGTGATGAAATGATTCTCAAAATTAACGAATACAGCTGAATAATCGTTAAAAGTGAGAATTTTATTTCTGACAGTATAGTTGCTGACGTGAACTGGTCTCTGTTTTTAAAGCAGAGGGTACGTTTCCTATTTTTTCAGTGGCACCATCTGTGGTCAAGAGTATGATTTGAGCCACAGACAAGTCACAGTCCGTTTATAGGACGGATCCATTAATACATCCATTATTTACAGATCGTAGTTTTGACCTGAACCAGAGAACGATCAATCTCCAATTCAGTACCCCCAGAAGTATTGATTTGTTACGGGAACATAGAGGACTTAATGACCAGGCAGATTTAACATGCACCAATTTTCATAAAGTAAAATTTACAATTGAAAACAGAATAGAATATATATTGGGAAAATACAGTGGAATTCAATTTAAAATAGAAAATGGTAGTAAAGTGAAGTGTCAAAGCTAAAAAATGCTGTCTAATACTTTTTAACTTTCTTTAAAAATAGAAAGCATAATCACTTTTTTTTCTTTTTAAATTTGAAATTTTTGAAAATTGGAATATTCGTGTTTCAAGCATACCAATTTTTAAATTATTATTCTCTCACAGTGGACTGATCGCAAGACAGTTCACAGTAGAAGCGGTCAGTGAGGATGGGTGACCACTTTAATCGGATTGCGAAGGGCTCGAGGGGGCGCTGTATTGATCCTTGTTATACAGATCTACTGTAAAGTGCTCGATTTAGTACGCTGGTTCTAAGGCTACTAAGCACAGGATCAAAAATCAAAATTGTAATGACGGGTTTTAGGATAATCCTCAGAAATGTTTCAGAATCAGGCGCCAATAGCCCATTGCGCATTTTAGCTTAAATTAAAGACAACTATTTCTGAAATTAATCATTCATTGTTTCCAGGTGGAAGAAGAAAGTGAGATAGGGTGGCAACCATGGAGTACATGGAGCACATGCTCGAGAAGTTGCAGTGGGGGTGTCACGTACCAGTTAAGAAAATGTCAAAACAAGGAGGGTTGCAAAGGAGAAGCAGCAAGATACAGAATTTGCAATATGCAGGTAAGTACTGAGAATTTTTATGCTAAGCATGACTGTAAAGCAAAGGTATAAAGAATTGATAATTATTATGACTATTAATTTAAAAAATATCACATTGGGAATTTTTTTTTCACCACTCTCTATGCAGATCAATATCGGGTTTAAAAAGAGTTTATTTAATACAGTATTCTTTTAAGGAGAATTTATTCAATGACTTTTCTTGAAATTTGTTTTAAAACATTTTTTGATTAGAATACATTTTGATTAAAGTCAAACATTCTATGAGCGCCGTTAGTCAAAACATCACTCACACCGTTTGTGGAGAACTGGGAGTCGTGAGTTCAATCCTAATAGCAAGCTAAACCGGCGAATATACACGCCATTACATGCACATTCAGTTTTTCGTGGCTGTATGCCCTTTCATTGGTTTTGGTTTGGAAGTGTAGAGGTAAGTTTGAAGGTTAGAGATAAAGTTGACAGCACAGGTGCTGTCATCTGTCTGAATATTTTTTATTTACTTTTTCTTCGTTATAATTTTATCACCCATTGGCAAAATGGGTCTTGGTTTGGATTTGATGGCGTTCACAAACTTCTCAACTGTGTCCAAGAGTAGTAGTAAACAGTGCGCATGCGCCGTCCTTGCATGCGTTGCTATGTCAACCGCTGCTGTTTTTCTTTTTATTTTCAATAATATTAATATTTCACTTATAATCACTTTTTATCTTTAATGTATTTACATGATAATAATTTAAAGTATTTTAAGTATTCTTTTTATTATTAAATTATAATTACTGCCTTGACTGTGATTTCGATTCAAATATGAATACTGAAGAAGGAAAAGTATTTTGTGACATCTTGAAACGCGTACATAGGCTGGATATGAAAATCAATCCGACGACTAACATCAATTGAGACAGTTTTTGCAACCCATGATTTGAAATGTTGTGGCGTTTAACGGAGTCTATCCAGAAAGAAAAAGGATTTGACCATTGGGTAACCAGTGATAGTAATAAGGTGATCACAACTTTTTTCTTGATTTTTTTTTTCTGTTTGTTTGCTAAAAACACACATTTTTACGCCCATTAGAATCATTTTATTGCTCCATTGTAAAAACATTTCATTTAATAAACCAGCATATTTTTTAGCTATGTATTTGCAATAATTTTTTTAAACAATTGTTTCTTTGTCAATTTGATGTCATTTTTTACACAATAACTGCACATCTGTATTTAAAAATAGTTTTAGTTTATCTCATCACCAAAAATGGTTGAAACTAGCATCAAAAATATTTTACATTGTATCGATTATAGTTTTAATGTTTATTAATTTAAGAATATGCTCTATTGAGAAGTTAAAAACGAAGAACTATCTTGGAAGTTAAAAATTAGAGTAAAATGTTCTAATTATAGAAAAATACAAATTAGTTTTAAAATAACTAGCAAAATGCATTGCTCTTTGAGAAGTTGATATCATGATGGATATAATTTCAAAAGTTACGTCTTTTTCAACCAAAATTTAGCTTTTCGAACTGAATTTTCTCCTTCATAGCACTTCATTGAACGTTTTAAGTGCAATAATAAATCCGTAAAAGTGTACGCCATCGGAATATTTCAATAGATTCTATTTAATTCTCGATTTTATTCTACAAGCCCACATTTCTCTTTAAATATACCAAATCCATCTGAACGAGAACTACTTCAAGATGAAAGAACTACATACATGTGTTCTATGCAGCCCAAAACCCCTGAGAGCAAAATTCTAACCGACTTTGTCTTTTGACGTTATTCTAGAGATAAAAAAAAGAAAAGAATTTTGAATAGAAACCGACTTCAAAAATAGAATGTCCTCCTTTTCAATGAAGATTAACCAATTACGCTTCAGCCAATCCCGTATCTCATTACCAGAAAGTCATAGTTCCCTCTCAACCAATTGAAACCTCGTTATTCAATTCAAATCAAAACCCTATGACTGCTCTTCAAAAACCTCTTTTACCAGGTACGACAAAACAATCTAGAACATACACTCTTCGTTAACGAATGAAATTTCGGAAAGATCTCCTGCTACAACAACCCAACCCTTTTCCCCTCAGGGCAGATCAACATAGATTGTCACCAAATCTATATCTCCAAGTATATCCAGACAAGTATATAGATATACTTCTGCAGAATACTCTCTCATAACTTGTAGTCATTATATCCTCTAAGATGGACCCTAGCAATAGGGGTACTTGAAAAGTTCGGTTTGCAACTCCTACCCCTCTGTTTGCGTGGGGGGTTGGCCATTAACAAACCTTCCTGGATTGTTACGACTCCGTGGGTGTTGAGTTTAAGAGGGTTCAGGTACAAATTAAATTTCATTTTATTTAAGATTCAATGGGATTTTAAACTTGTTATCGCGATATCTACTTGTGTTCATCGGTTATTAGTTTGATAGAATATCTGGAAATGTTTTAAATGGGAAGGTTAAGGGTATGCTTTAGCTACATTAATTGTTCGATTTATTTTATGTCCCTGGTGAAAATTGTTTTTGTTGAGTTGTTGAATTATATTTAATTTTTAACGAGGAATCGAAAGCCAGTAGTATTTTAAATTCTGTGTCAAAGAAAATGTGCTTAAGGGAGCTGCACTTGCTATATTTAAAATTATAGTTTTTTTAGCGACTGCTTTTTACAGATAATTTATAATAATATTTAATTCTTTTAGTTTTGCCACATTTAAATAAACCCCACTTTATGATTATTTTTCATTTTCAGCAGCAGCCCTGCAAACTGAACGACTTTCTTATAACTTTTTGTTTATGTTTATGTTTTTGATATCTTTTATACATATATCATGATACATATATCATGATACATATGTGTACAGATAGCGAATGATACATATATCATTCGCTGGAGTGTGCAAACACTCCTCGCAAGCAAACTAGGAGAATAAACATTGAACATAAATTAACATCTAATAAAACATGCGACATAAAAGCATTAAAAGATTATAAACATTTGAAACATTAGAGCTTTAAAAGCATTGAGAACATTAGAAGATAGAAAAAGTATTAAAAATACCACACCATAAGCATAAACAAATAGTTATTAGAAAGTCATTCAGTTTGCAGGGCTTGTAATAGCTCACGAGCCCTCCAATATCTACTTCACTTTATGTAAGAAATGATATATCTAAATTTTAAATATGTTGCTAGTTTTTTTGTATATTAAATTTTTATTGGTTTTCTTTAGAACTATATTTTCAATAATTATGTACAAAATTTAATAAAATAGACTAGATAGAATGAAAGAAAATTTTGCATCCATACTTTTTTGCATGTAAGTTTATAATTTAAACCGACAAATTTTACTTTGTATTGAAGAAAAAGTATTTTTCACTGATTTTAATTGTAGTAAATGTGAATTTCAAATTAGTATGGCAAAGAAAAACATAAAAATAATTAAACTTTATTATTTAGGAGGTTCAGAATAATGTTCAGATGTTTAAAAACAGCAATTTTAGAAATTTTTCCTACATTACTTTAGCAGATTAGATTCATAATTTTTTGTGTTATGCATACTTGGCATATCATTTATAAAATTACGAAACATTTAAATTTGAAATTAAATTTTCGAAATAAGATACTAGCATATTTGGAGCTATGTTTATTTTATTTATTATTTACTCTATTTATTTTATATTTCAAGCTGCCCTAATTTAATGTTAAAAAAATTAGAGAATTTGAATTTCATATTATATTCTAAATTATGTTCTGAAAAATAGTATTTTTTTTAAAAGTGCAACGACCTATTTTAAAGAGTGAATAATAACAAGACCCTTAATATTACCAAAAGAAAGTGCTAGAGGATTTTTTTCCAGGGTGAGTTGAAAATATCAAATATGTGTTCCAGAGGTCTAAAGCTTTTACTTTTAAAAATTATATAAAGCATCCTTCAAAAAAATGTTTATTAAAAGGGTAAAAATAATAAATAAAAAAGAAATTAGTAAACAAAAGGAATGAAAGTTTATGCCAAAGTGCTTGTTTTTGTTTTACGCCATTCGAGAGTGCTGGTTAAATTTTAGTTAAGCACAGTTAATATTAATAAAAGCAAACAATATTTACTCTAGTAAAGAATAGACGTTCCCAATTAGGCAGCGTCTCCCCCAAAGAGATAATTTCATAGTTTCAGGGGGTTCTGAGGGTAGTCTAAACATCTTTTTTTATTGAAAATCTTTCACAAGTTCTCTTAAAGGTAGGCAGCTTATGCAGTTTAAAAAAATGTATTCGTTTAAACCGGTTTAAAAGCATATAAGTTAAAGAAAAGCGTTTAAGATTAAAAAAAAAAGACTTATATTAAAAATTCTCTAGTTGAAATTTTCTTTAATAAAAAGGATTTTTTACACGTCTCTGCGTTGCCAGATATTTATGAATCAGATACATGCATATGTTTTATTTTATAACCGGCATTGAGCAGCTGATCCAAGTTAGATTTGTGAGTATAGAGCACCCCAAGTCAAAAGTTTTGATGGTTTTCCATTGATAGACTATATCATAATCTTTATGGTAACCATTAATAATTCCATCATGAACCATTATATTTTTTGATGGTAACTAACATAAGTAAATATCACCTCAATATAAGAATTCTGACTGATAATAATGGTCCAACTGATAATAATGGACTGATAATAATGGACTGATTTATAATGGTTCAACATAAGAGCAGCAACTTGTTTTAATAGTTTGTTCGTGTTGAACCATCACGAATTTCTATCATAGTATCTTAAAAATGAAATGTTGTACGGTCATGAACAACCCTCAACTTAAATTTAGGAATTCGGACTGATTTGTGATGATCCAACATAAAAAACAACCCAAATTGTTTTGATGGCATATTCTTCGGAACCAACAAGGAATTCCCATCAAACCGTCATGGAAATGAATAGTTGGAACCATCATGAATCTTCAAGGATTATCATGGATTGTTGGTCCAAGAGGGACAAACTTCTCTTGATGGTTAACCAACATAGTATTAAAGT